CTTTTCCAATTTGATTTTATTTCTAGAGGCAATACTGCAAACCATTTTTGGGCTGCGCCGTCTAAAGTTGTTTGTATCAACGCTGTGCGTCGATGTATCCAGTTTTGATGTAGTGGCGTATTAATTGGTTCAGGTCCTATATTTAAAATCAAATTTGCTGTTACTGCATTTAAATAGTCTTCTACAGAATATTCAGGGTCTGTTCCTGTGAATACCATTAAAGGTTTATTTGATGTTATTGATGATCCACCCATAAGGTATGGATTCATTGTCATTTGTAATGAATCTGCTGCATTTGACATTTGAGAAAAATTTGAAAGTTGATTTCTTGTTATTTCGTGTTGTTGAAGATAATATGGGAGTGGTATTTCATTTTGCATTTGTGTCGGTTGATACGAGTGTGTGATCATTGGGTTTTGTTGCTGAATTGGTTGACAATATTGTGTATTAATTGGGTTTTGTTGCTGAATTGGTTGTTGATTTTGTGTATCTATTGGTTGTGGAGAAAAAATTCTATGATTTGTATGTGGTTTCTGTACTCCTTGTCCACGATATTCTTGATTATATGGTGCAAATATATCTGGTTGTAAAAAATCATCATCTGAGGATAAGTAATCCATTTGATAAGATGTTTGTTTTTTATTTTTATTTTGTTGAAAAAATGGATAGTTTTCACTACGATCCTGTGAAGGATGTAAAGTTGTTTGAAAATTTACTGAATTAGTTTGTGCCATTGGGTTATCCCAGTTTCGAGATCTTGTGTAATTATTAAAATTTTTTCGTGGGGGATAATTTGTTTTTGATGGATGTGTGTAATTATAGTTATGTTCTGCAAAATTGTTTCTGGTGAACGTTTTACGTGTTTTTGACGGTATTGTCATGGGTCTGTATGTTTGATAATCCATGTGTGAATATTTTGGGTTAACCGAAGGTTTAACGGTTGATTGTAAAGTTACCTGTGTTTGTGAAGGGTTTGTATTTCTTTGTGTTGTTAAATTTGGACGTATCGGGTGAAATACTTTGTGGTGTAGTTGTTGTGTGTACGTTTTCTTCATTTATGAAGTGTGATGGTGTCTGGATATCTTGTTGGGTGAGATTTCTAGTTCCATTGAGGTTTTCATTGTGTATGACTATGGATTTTAAACTATTATTTTGCATGTCAGGTAAAAATGTATCATAGTTAAATGGTGTTGCATCAATGGTTAATGGTATTACTCTTACATAATCTCTTACATAAGATATCGTACTTATTGCTTGACTTGAGATTGATTGTGGGAAGTTTATGAATGCGGGAAGAGACCATTCGGGGTCCCAAACATAGTCTGACTGTTCTGTGATGGCAGTATCATCGTTTGAGTTTTGAGGTCTAAAATTTTTTCTTGCTTGTGAAATTAAATCTAGATTATGTGTGAAATAATCTATTATAAACCATGCCAAGATTTTTTGTAAGTCATGTTTTGTATGTTGTGAAACATCATCTTTAGTGAAATTTTCTTTAATTATATTTAGGAAACTAGAGAGTAGTGTGATTTCATGTCGTACTCTTATATGTTTAGATGTTTCTGTCGGTGAGACATTTGAGATTGGGATTTCGTTTTCTAATACCGAGATATAACTATATATTATTGCAAAAACTTCATTGGTGAATATGGAGTTTGCTCTTTGTGAGTTATGATATTGTATGCTTTTTATATATTCTGAGAATACTTTTGAGAATTCTAAATCAAGGTCGTCTGTTTGAATTACATATTTGCTGTGATTCTGGTTTGGTGAGCTGAATTGTATGGAGTAAATTCCGTATTGTTGTGTTAAGTTGCATATATCTTTCAAATAGTGATCGATAATTTGTCTTTTGATTTTTACATCTGGGAACTCTGTTTTACATGGACTGATTCCGGGTTCAAACAAATTTAAGAGTAAATTTTTGCAAAATATGTGCTGTCCTCTATCAGTGGTTGCATCTACGATAAAGGGGAAGATATCATCATCATCTGGACTTTCTTCACCTGGGGTGTGTGTTGAGCTCATTTTTTCGTTTGATGACTGTTAATATGTAATTATCGATGTGTCTAATTGGTTGATTCCAATTGTATAAATGTACTGGTTTGTGTTTATATTGTTTTTTTATTCTTCTTTTTCCTCTTTTTGATGAATTTGAAGTTGTTTCTGAGTCGGAAAAATATAATTGATCGTGAATGGGGCAATTTTTATCTATAGATTCTTTTAATTTATAAAGTTCGTCTAAACTGCTTGTTTCTGATTCTGAAAATGCGTTTCGGTTTTTTGAAAATCTTTTTCGTGTTATTTGTCTTTGTTTGGTTATTATTTTTCTTTTTAGTGTTTGTCGTTTTGTTCTAATGTATCCAACTGTTTGTGTATGAGGTGTGATTACAAGATCGTATTTTTTGTCATCTATTTCACAATTGTGTAAAACGATTGTTTGTTTATTTCCTAGGTTTTTAAATGACATAAGGTTTAGGATGACGGATGCAAAAGGTTGTTAAATTTTTTCTATTTTCTTAGACTGTTAGACCTTACGATTTTTTGGTTACCTAACCTGGGTCTATTTGTTCAGGGTTGGGGAGAAAAGTATATCGATTCCGAAGAATGATTTTATACTTTCTCGTGACTAGTATAAGCTAAGGTGTTAACTTACTTAATCTTACTTAAGGGTAGTGATTGTGTTCAGGGTTCGAGAATAGTAAATCGATCCACAAGGTTCAGGTATAATTAGAACGCGAGTATTCGTTAGATACTATTTTAAACTTACTAAGTCTAAGATTTAACCTGGGTCTGGTAAGAGGGGGGATCAAGTGAAGGATGAATAACCGAAGTTCTTCACTGTTTATCCTAATTTGAATGATTAGTTTTGTTCAAAAATTTCTGTTAGTCCTGGGTTTTTAGAAAGGGTTGGATAGTGAATCGACGTTTGAGGTCGTTAGACACTAGCTAAGTGGGTGGGGGAGAACAAAATTGTTCTTTTTGATCCAAGGATAGGCCTTGATGATCAAGTTTTAAATTTAATTAAATAGAAAATGATTTAAGATCCAAGGATGAGCCTTGATGATCTGATTTTAAATTTAAGTGAATTTAAGTTTAAAATGATTTAAATTTGTGTAGAGAAAAGATTTAGTGTTTTTATGATATTAGTGAGCTTATGAATGCTGTTATGTTTAGGTGATGAAGCTGGAACAACAGGATGATTTATGATTACTTAACCATTTATTGTCATGCTACTAATTTTTATTTTGATTTTTCAATAAATATTTTTCAAACATGTTTTGTATATTACTGCAGAATTTAGGAAAACGATCTGAGATCTTTTTATCAATCGTTATTGTATATTAATAATTTTGTTTAGCGCCTGAAATGATTTTGAAGATTGACTTCAAGATTTTATGTTTGCAAATGAAAATCTAAATTCATTGCTAGTAGTATTCTAAATACAAAAGTTTGTGTTGGCTTTTGCCGAACTATCATATAACTATATGGTAAGTTTCTACTTTGTCGTATGTCGTCTCTGGTTCGAGGTCTTCTTGCAATTCCGGGTAGTTCTCTTATCGTTCGGAATATTGGCTTTGATCTATTGAGTCGTAGAGACATTTCGATTAAATTATCGTCGTGTAACATTTTTAAAATATTTTGTCTAAATTCTAATCTATTTTTGGTTAATTCTAAGCTATTAAGGTCTTGTTCGAGACTTATGGTCGCACCAGATGAGTTAGGACCGAAGTGTATAACTCATAGAGTAATTTCGGATAGGGTACACCGTCTGCTCGTCACGCTATCTTATTTTCGGCCGGATAGATTCGTGCAACTTCTTAGTCTAATACCAATCCTAATCTTACTCTTATACTATCTAGTCTCAGGTTGTTTAACTAGTCTCTGCTAGGCTCAATAGATCTAGGGTATACTGGTTTATTGCGGCTGCTGAAGTCTTCTTGGAGAGTCAACTAATTTCTAAGTTAAATTCAAATCTCTCTGGTGCTGAAATTACAAGTAATTTCAGCACTTACAAATAAGTGGGTTGTTAGTTAGATGGATCATGATTGGTTAATATTAAATACTTTACAGTGGTAAAATATCTAATTTATCCAATCATAAAATGTAGTTTAGATCAGGTTCCAAATTACACAAATGACTTTGCTAAAATTTGGAAAAACGGAGTCAAAGTGTGTCTACAACTTAAAATTAGCCCTCACCGGGAGTTTTGTTGCAGAAATAGTAAAATCAGAAGCGTGATTTTTTTTGCAGAACTCGCCAAGATTTCGAGTAATGAATTGTTAGTTTTTTTTACAATAGTTATCAACTCAACACCCATGAGATTACTAGAATAAATATATTTTTTTTTGGAATTTTATCAGAGCTCAAAATCGTTAAGTCATTTGCGATGAGACACGATTTGGTTTGCTGCGTTGAAGTAGGCATATCAATTATATGAAAAGGGAAAATCAAACGTCCCAGAACAGAAACTTGCACAACGCCTAATGTTAAGAGTTTGATTTTAGTGTGGTTCTTTGGCGAATGAAAAAAATGACATCTTATCTTCATTTGCGATTGCATAAGTGTTGAGACAATATCTCTAAAACCATACCTTTCCAATTTTCTGTATAATCGTTGTGATTGATAGCATCAAAGGTTTTTTTTTCAATTCAGCAAAGCAAGCAAGTCCATGTTTGTTAAGTACTTAAGATTGTTTGACAAAAAACCACACGAGCACAAATATTCTTGCAGTTTTTCGAAAGCCGGATCACTAAACAGAAGAACTGAAAAAAAAATTCATGGTTTTGACGATTTTCAATTTTATAACCAAGTAAAGTACAAAACAATAATAAAAAACTTTAGCTAACATAATTTATTTATTAGCTATTTATTGATCAAAATTAGTTTACGATTATTTTCGAGTCTACAATTTTACGATTCAGTTTGCTTACGATTTTACGATTCAGTATTGAATAAAATGTAGAGACAGTAATCTTTGAAACATTTTTTTATTTCAGGCTGTGGATTCGCTGATCAACTTCGAGACGGTTAAGTACCACGGAATGGAGCAGTTCGAAGTTGACAGGTATAGAATGTCCATGAATGCATACCAGAAGGTCCGGTGGAAGATGTTCGCGTCTCTTCAGCTGCTCAACCTAATCCAGATCATCATCCTAAACTGCAGCCTCTTAGCAGGTCGCTTTACTTTTTTTCCATGACGAGACGACCCAGTATCAGAATTGAAGCTCATTAAATTTCATTCAGCTCATTAAGCTCATTAAATAAAAAAAACTGAAAATTTTGTCGACCTTTTTTGAAAAGCAGGAAGCAGGCCAAAAAGCGTTTTTAGCGGGGGGGTTCAAGGATTTTCGTTGAAAAGCCGGCCAAAAAAGGCGTTTTTAGGCACTTTTTGGGAAAACTTTGACCCCCCTCAAATTTAGTATAAATTGGCGCCGAAGGCGCCTTTAGAATGTTTTTAGGATTTTTAGGGTCCATCGCCAAACATGGATATCTCAAAATGGTGCAAAACGGGACTCATTGGGTCGGCAGGGGATCGAATTCCTGAAAGGAGGGGTGTCCGCCACCCCCCCCCCCTAAATCTGCCACTGAGTTCACAAAAGGATGTATAAAGCGCCTCGGGTTCTAAAAAAAGACCAAACGATTTCGGATTGTTTTGAGACATCAATAACATAAGAACGACTCAATCTAACGCTTACGCAATGTATAGGAAAAAACACATAGCGGGCGTTAAGTATCCCAAAGTGACCAAGTTAGATTTTTTAAATCCCCATAAATTTACTAAAACTGATCACAGGTACAGGTGATTTTTTTTACGTTTGCGTTGCGAGAGCTCAGGTCAAATGTTTGAGAGCTCGGGACAAATCGACAAATGTATTATAATTAACAAATAATGATCCACCCACAAAACTGTATATTCAAAGAAAACCTCGCAAAACCATGTTCGACAGATCCTGACAAACAAATGACCAATTAAGATAGAACTGCTCTATGAATTATCCCCTATGGAGTTATTCCAACCTTTTTAAGGATTATTGAAATCGGCGCGTGCTCTTTAAACCCTTTTATTTACTCTGATTTGTTTTTATTATTACGATCATTTGAAAAATGTGGAGGATCTTTGTCTTTTTTTGTTTTTTCTTTTGGTTTTCCTCACAAAAACAGGGACAAAAAAAATAAGCATCGAAGTGGGTCGAGTTAAATATCTTATTAATTTATCGAGAAAAAACAGGTTTGGAGTTTTTTGGTTTGTAAAGGCTTACAATAGCTTATTTATAGCCTTTAAGCCGTGAAAACGTAGTTTTTTGTCGATTAAATTTATTTCGCGAATCAAAAACTTTTTAGTGCCATTAATTTTTAATTTGTTTTTTTATTAGAGCTTTTTTGTCTTCTTTTTTTAAAAATGTTTTTTCAAGCAATCTATTTGGCTATGACAGTCGACTATGCTTAATTTCTTTTTTTTCTCGTTCAAATCTGTTTATCACACCACACAGAAAAAAAACGACAAAATTAGAAATATTAATTGTTCTTATGTGATTTTAGGTGGATTCCTATGCGCGTATTATGTGGTCCATGAGCAGCAAAATGTGGGCAGTTTTGTGCTCTACACGAGCTATGTGATCCAGGTGTATGGACCTCTGAGTGACCTTGGATTGAACTACAGACAAATCCAACAGACGTTCATTGACCTCGAGAACCTGCTTGACCTATTCCGAGTGGAGGTGGAGGTCAAGGACACCAAAGGGGCAATGGCCTTGAACATCAGCAATGGCGGGGGAGTAGGAGGAGGCGAGATAGTGTTTGATCGAGTGTGCTTCCACTACCGACCGGACAGACCTCTTTTGAAAGACATATCATTCAAGGCTAGTCCTCTCTTTTTTTTATCAAACATGGGACCATGTGAAAAATCACCCCGTAATTTAATTCAGGAGGGAGATTGTTCACTTGACTGAAAATAATTTTTTTCAGCCAATCAGATTTGAGTATAGTACATGCATGCCTTACGGCTTGAGTTTGCCGTTTAGCTTTAGGGGTGAGATTGGGTGGGAGTGCGGTCTGTAATTAGACAACCGCGTATTCATACTCGTCAGTAATCAGACAAATATGATATTAACCAATCAGAAACAGTACAAGAAAGAAATTAATAAATAATAAATAATTATTTCGTTAGCTTGCTTTCTCATCTTGATTCTGATTGGTTAATATAGTATTTGTCTGCTTACTGACGAGTATGAATATGCGGTTGTCTAAATACTGCTACGTAACCGATTGGGTGATATGTTACAATAGGTGATAACTTTCAGTATAGTGCATGTATAAAATTTGAGAACTAAATGCATAAAATAGTGATCTCATTTTCAATCAAATGTACTTCTACTAAGATAGTTCTTTTATATACATTACTGTGCCAGATCAAATGCAATTCAAAATGTGAAAGTGTACACTTCGTTTGCCGAAAATTTGGCTTTTGAAACAAATTATAAATATTGTGCGAAGCATAACAAAATACGATCTAGCTATTCAAATCGAACCTACCATCTAATGTAAAATATGAACGGAGATTGTTCACTTGGTGTCAGTAGCGTGCCGAGAGGGGATGCGAGGGGGTTATGCAACCGCATCTCCCCTTAATTCTGATTGCCAAAAATCTTTAAAGGGCCCCTTTTGGTATAACTTTACGTTTGGCTCATCAACCTCAAAAAATTTCTAAAGGCGCCTCGGGCGCCAAAATAACTATTTTTGAGGGGTAGGCGCGCGCCGAAAAAACTCGATTTTTTGGTCAACATATTCATAAAGGTCCGTCCTACAAACGCTTTTTTTTGGCCAGTTTTTAAAAAAATATTGGTACTAATTTACTCCCGTGACAAAACTAGATTAGATCATTGGTCTCGCCTCTTTTCTAAAAGACAAGCCAGCAAGGGCTTTGAACCTACGTCTTAGGGTTAGTAACCTGATTCATTTCCGCTTTACAAACTAGGCCCGTTTCGTTAGCAATATAGAGAAACAAAAACGCTTACAGTTAGAATTAGCCACACACTATAACTCGGTTTTTATTAAGGAGCACAGCATTTTTGAGGAACCAAACAAGTAAGCTAGTGCCAAAGCATTTGACTGGGGCGCAGAAAATTTTCGGCAAAATAGGGTACTCATAGTGTTTTTGGAGAGCTCGGAAAATCAAATTGCTCAGCCTTAAAAAAGAGATTGTTCACTTGGTCTATTTTGGGGGAAGAGTGTTCACATGGGCCCCAACATAAACCCCCTTCTACACAGTGTAAAATAAAACAGAAATATTTTACTACAGAATAGGACGGATATTATTAACGAAGGAGGTAGTAAACATACGAATGACCAAAACAAAGCAGTTCACTTAATTAAGCCTCAACTGGTTGTTCTCTCCAACTATTTTTACCGTTTTCTCTACAAAATATTCATAAGCACGAGCCCATATGAGTTTTTAATTGTCGTTTGATTCGCATTTCGGCTATATTAACTAGTTAATTCAGCGCTCGGCATATCAGTATAGCCTTTCCAAGCAAAATCAATCCAATTGATTTTTTTAAAATTTCCATTTTCATTTTTCATCATTTAAAGAGGTATAAGCGAACCGACCCAGTAGCGTGCCGAGGGGGGGAGGGGACGACCACCCACCCCCTCAATTCTGTTGCCAAGTTTTTCCAAAGGGTCTCTTGTTTGGTATAACTTTATGTCATCCGTTTTTCGTCAATATTTTCTAAAGGTGGCTTTGGCGCCAACATGACTAATTTTGAGGGTGGAGCGCGCGCCAAAAAATGCAATGTTTTGCTCAATGTTTTCCAAAAGTGCCTACAAACGCCTTTTTAGGCCTATTTTTTTGAAAAGTTTGTTTGCGACGCTGAAAATTTTTTACAAAAAAGGGTCCTTATAATATTTTAGAAGAGCCCGAAAAATCAAATTGATCGACCCAAAAAAAGGTCGGCGAAGTTTTCAAAAAAATTTAGAAAAACCTTAGAGAAATTTCAAGCCAGTTCTACGAAAAGAGTAAACCTTCTTTTCGGGAAGAGTCTAATTACACGCGTTGAAGGCTTTTGCAAAAGGTGCAACAGTGGTGAGTTAGCTTAGCTTGCATCTCTCAGTCGCAAAAAAGCAGCTCGATGCCCATCCTGATTTGTGCTCGTTACAGTTTGTTACGCCTTTTTGGTCCAATTTTCAAAGAAAGTGAAAGTTATATATTCTTGGGGTGGTTTTTGTTTTATGCAGATCAATTTTTAAAAAACTGACAGCTCAAATTCCCAAGGCATGGCTACTCGAACAGGTTATTCCACTAAGCGAACTACTTATGCGTGGTAAATTATTGGCATTCATACTCGTTCTTAATTGAATTGAGGCATGCTAATTGTTCTTATCATTTCTATATATTATCAGCCTAAAATTCTCACCCGGGTTGACCTTCATAGACCGAAAATGCTAATCATAAAATTCCATAAAGTATGTTTATGAAAAATACTAATCAGACAATTTTCTTACGTTTGCTAAAATGGTACCGTCGAAAATTCAAAAAAAAATTTCTTGTTTTTTTGTGCGTGTAACGTCATAAACAGAACTAAAAACTTTTGACGAAAAAAGCTAGTTATGCAGTTTCCATATATCATGAAGTTTCGAATTTGAACCTTTTTTTAACCGCAAAACGATTTTTTCTACTCAAGCAAACATTTTTCAAGATTTTTTTTCAAGCAAGACTTAATTTTTCGTGAGCACAACGTTGTCCAGGATACAAAAAAGTTAGGAATTTTTTCTATTTCTCTGGAAAACAATTTTCAAAAACGCTCAAAACGCTTATAGTTATGTATGCCGTGCTCATCTTATAATTATTTTGTCAAAAATCAAAAAACTTGATTCTTTCAGTGCATGATTTGTCTAAGACAACTCTAAGGCAATTCAGGTTGTTTCCAATGCATTGTAAATGCAAGACAGTTTAAACTTTGGTCACTCTATTTTTGAGTAAGTATGACTAGCATTTTTCCATAAACCAAAAAGTTTGATTTCTTTATAGTTTAATTTCTCAAATTTTTTGGAATGTGGTCTTAACTGAACACAAAAAAAACACAAACCATGGTTGGTGTTTTTGTGTTCGGTTAGGACAACATCCCAAAAATTTCGAGAAAATAAACTTTGAAGAAATCAAATTTTTTGGTTTATGGAAAAATGCTTGTCATACAATTTTCATTTAGTAAAATCACTAAACTTAAACTTTTCATGCAATTTTCTGCACCGATGGAATTGCATGGAATTTGTATGACTAGCATTTTTCTATATTTGAAAATTGTATGACTAGCATTTTTGGTCCTCCCGGGTATTTTGTCAATATTTTCAAAAACTAATCGAGACCTTTTAATGGGCAGTCGGAACACTCAAGGCTTTGCCCTGATACAAGCAGTCTTGTTTTAATTATATACCGTAATCAGAAACAAAATCCTTTAGTTTTTAGCGCAGATGGAATGAACAGAAAATTTTTGTTCATTTTACGTTGATTTTTCGGCAAACACGATACATAGATGAAATTCCCTCAAATGGCTATGTCATAATTTTAACGGGTTCTAACCAAATGAAAGTTGAAAAAACTTGTTTATGTGAACACGAAAAGCCAATAAAACTGGTTTAAGCGCTGTTGTTGAATATTCGATAACTCCTTTAACAACTCACAAGTTGATTTGTGAATTACAAAACTGCAACTTACTCGTTGAAATACTGATAAATGTCTACTTTATGAAAACAGGTGTCATCTGGCCAGACAGTGGCGGTAGTGGGCCCGTCTGGGTCTGGGAAGAGCACTTTGATCCGGCTGTTATTCCGCTTCTACGACATACAAGGGGGGAGCATCTCCATAGACGGGCAGGACATCTCAACTGTCTCTCAACAGAGTCTCCGCAAGATCATCGGAGTCGTCCCCAGGACACCGTGCTTTTTAGTGAGACCATCCGGTGAGTATCCCTACTGGGATAATTCGAACTGCGGTAACGAAATCATTCCCAGAATCACAAAACTGCGCCAGATTTCTCGCTCGCGCAGAGTCGCCATTTCGCTTTTTTGGCGGTTACGAAATCATTCCCAGAATCACAAAACTGCGCCAGATTTCTCGTTCGCGCAGAGTCGCCATTTCGCTTTTTTTGGCGGTTACGAAATCATTCCCAGAATCACAAAACTGCGCCAGATTTCTCGCTCGCGCAGAGTCGCGATTTTGCTTTTTTGGCGGTTACGAAATCATTCCCAGAATCACAAAACTGCGCCAGATTTCTCGCTCGCGCAGAGTCGCCATTTCGCTTTTTTGGCGGTTACGAAATCATTCCCAGAATCACAACTCTGCGCCAGATTTCTCGCTCGCGCAGAGTCGCCATTTCGCTTTTTTTGGCGGTTACGAAATCATTCCCAGAATCACAAAACTGCACCAGATTTCTCGCTCGCGCAGAGTCGCCATTTCGCTTTTTTTGGCGGTTACGAAATCATTCCCAGAATCACAAAACTGCGCCAGGTTTCTCGCTCGCGCAGAGTCGCCATTTCGCTTTTTTTGGCGGTTACGAAATCATTCCCAGAATCACAAAACTGCGCCAGATTTCTCGCTCGCGCAGAGTCGCCATTTCGCTTTTTTTGGCGGTTACGAAATCATTCCCAGAATCACAAAACTGCGCCAGATTTCTCGCTCGCGCAGAGTCGCCATTTCGTTTTTTTGGCGGTTACTAAATCATTCCCAGAATCACAAAACTGCGCCAGATTTCTCGCTCGCGCAGAGTCGCCATTTCGCTTTTTTTGGTTGCGCAAATTGTGATTTATCTATTTTGGGTCGCGCAAAATCGCATCGAAGTTTTTATGTGATGTTTTATATTTAGGTTGCACAAAATTGCGCCGAAAAATCTCGCGACGTAGCGAGTCATCTACCTCGGGTTGCGCGAAGTCTCCCCGAACTTTCTCGTTTGCGCAAAAGTAATGAAGACATAAATCGATTCCAATTTTATCTAATGGTATTTAATAAGAAACAAATAATAAGCAAAGTTTTTGATTACTAACAATAGATAGATTGGTAGGACGCTACTAGACCTGGAGGTCAGCTTTCAAATGCCTAAAGCAGAGAAAACTAGCGTAATGCGCGCATAACATGATTTGTAGCTGCTTTTTGAAAGCTCTAACTTTCAGATCGAGTAACAGAAATTGAGAGAAAAACATCATTAAAAAACAAAAAAAAACTATATATAACCTTAACCTTAGATTCCTAAACCTTACAGAAATCTGGTAACGCCCTTTTACCCAAGAAGGAATCTTCTAAAAAAGTGGGATTGAAAATATTGATTTGATTTTTGATTATTAACTTGAAGAATTCTGTTCTACTTGAGAAAAGTGTTGAAACTAGTTTAAACATTTAACTTATTTTGATTTTAGGAAACCTCTTATAATTTTGGTTTTTATTCGATGTCACTTTTTGCTTTGTGATGCATTTAAAATGCAGATTACTTATCGCAGTATCACTTATTGTTGATACAATAACTTTTTATTTTACATTTTTTTCAAATGGTTTTTGTTGATAGTGTTAGATTTTCGTTTGCAAAAAATTTGGTTCGTATAACAATTAAAAGTTTTACTCGTGCTTCCTCTATTAAAACTGTTCATTTTTCGGACAAAACTTTGTCCAGATCTTTTTTTAAACTTCAGTTTCAATTGGCATGATTAATGTTATGTCTGATTTCGCGTACGCCTGCATTCCATATTGCAACACCGGTTGAACTTAAATTAAAAACTTGGACCAAATTAGGAAATTTCAAGTATTTGTGCATTTGTAGGATACTCAGCAAAATTGCAGGAATTTGTATCTTATTTGTTTGATTTGAAAATTCAATTTTGAGTCTGTATCAACTCCGAAGTAGCCTAAAAACTTGATTTTCTGCCATTTTCTTGTTATTCAATGAAATACAATCTTTGATTTTTACCAAGTTCTTGTTTTCATCAAATTTGGTTGACTTAATTTTAGTCTAAGTTTGCTTTGGCTTACGAAGTCTTGATGTACCTATGTTAATTGCAGGCGTTTGTGTTGCTAGTTTTGATGACTGTATTGTCCGCAAAAGAAGTAAGTCACTTTTGCTATTGTTTTTGTTCACAGACAAATCATTTACAATAGTAGGAAAAGCAATGGAACTAGAATTTAGCCTTGCGAAACTCCACTTCATGCATTAATAAGAGGAGATTGTTTAGTTTCAGGTTTCTTTTTACTGCGTACGATCTGATACGTAGAATTTTAAAAATTTGTTTACAGGTCCTCAGAAGCCCATGTCATGGAGGTTTTGAAGTAAAACTGAATGATTAACCGCATCAAACGCTTTTTTCCAATCTAAAAGAATGCATTGTGTAACTTTTTCAGGATGACTTTTTATTTCAACTTTCAATTCTTCCTTGAGCGATACAATTGCATCTACTGTGCCTCGTTTCTCCCGAAAGTCAATTTCTCGGTTTTGCAAAATTGCCACCATTCTTTTTGCGTCGCCTAAATTAAATTCACCGCGATTTATCTTCTTTGGGTTACGACGATCATCACTTAAATCGACTATCTCGGCTCGGTAAGGAATAGGTTGATACTACCAACAATTAATACTCGCTGCTTTTTCTTGCAGACAAGTTTTCAAAATTCTAGTCCAATTCCTCCAAATATTTTACGCTTGGTCGAACATTCTCATGCATGGAAGGGATAGCGTTTTTTTTGGGAAAGCGCATCGTTTCGCCTATTGTTAAGTTAATCTTAGCAGAATACACAGAAGGGGCCTCCTGCTCTGAGGATTGCCCCCTAGGTCAATATTTACATAACAATAAACAGTGGGTCCTTGCCAATTTTGAGGAAATTTTCATCGAATTTTCCTTAATCGTAGGTGACTCCCGTACATAAAGAAGGACCTCTCTTGAGACGCTCAACGCAATACTGTCATCCAGGGGTGGATATAGGATTTTCTCGGGGGGGGGGGTTCAAAACAAAATTTAGAAAATTTAATCGAAAGGTTTTTTAAATCGATCAAGTTTATTTTGCAAGCTCTCACAATTCTTATAATGACCCTATTTTGACCAAATTTTCTGCGCCGCAGGTAATTTTTTGAATTTTCTGCGGGCTCCCCCTATAAATTAGTATGCATTAGCGCCAAAGGCACCTAAAAACACTTTTAGGGTCGCTCACCCAAAAATGTTCTAAAATAGTACCAAAATAGGGACTTTTTTGTCGGCAGGAGGTCGAATCTTTGGGGAAGGGGGCGTCTAACCCAATCAATGACAATCGCCCCACCTCCCCCCCCCCAACAAAAAACAATGGCAGATTCATTGAACCCTTTAGATATAACATCGCTACGGAAAAATTGACGCTACTGACGAGGAGATCAAGAAGGCGGCCACGAGAGCAGACATCCACGAGAAAATCCTGTCATTCCCGGACGGGTACGAGAACCGAGTGGGGGAGAGGGGACTGAAGCTGAGTGGGGGAGAGAAGCAGCGGGTGGCCATTGCCAGGACTGTCCTCAAGGTATAGTGTGTGTGTGTGTAGCACCGCTTGAACCACTTTATACTGTTTATCGTCTGTGTCTCTTTTTTGTATAGGTGTATTTCTATGTGTATGCATGCGTTCATGTGTGTATGTAATCCCCAAGTTTTCCCATTTAAATCTCTTCGATGTAAAAAAAACTCCGAAACAATTTTCTTGGCTTTCAATATTGCAAGAAATGGGTTATTGGAACCTGATCTAAACTATATTTTATGATTGGATAAATTAAATGTTTTACCAATGTAAAGTATTTAATATTAACCAATCATGATCCATCTAACTAACAACCCACTTATTTGTAAGTGCTGAAGTTACTTGTAATTTCAGCACCAGAGAGATTTGAATTTAACTTAGAAATTAGTCGGACTCTCCCGAGCACTTCAGCAGCCGCAATAAACCAGTATACCCTAGATCTATTGAGCCTAGCAGAGACTAGTTAAACAACCTGAGACTAGATAGTATAAGAGTAAGATTAGGATCGGTATTAGACTAAGAAGTTGCACGAATCTATCCGGCCGAAAATAAGATAGCGTGACGAGCAGACGGTGTACCCTATCCGAAATTACTCTATGAGTTACACTCCAGTCCTAACTCATCTGGTGCGACCATAAGTCTCGAACAAGACCTTATTAGATTAGAATTAACCAAAATTAGATTAGAAATTAGACAAAAACATTTACAAAATGTTATACGACAATAATTTAATTGAAATGTCTCTCCGACTCAATAGATCCGAGCCAATATTCCGAACCATAATAGAACTACCCGGAATTGGAAGAAGACATCGAACCAAAGACGACATACGACAAAGTAGAAACTTGCCGTATAGTTACATGATAGTTCGGCAAAAGCCAGAACAAACTTTTATATTTCGAATACTACTTGCAATGAATTTAGATTTCCATTTGCAAACATAAAACCTTGAAGTAAATCTTCAAAATCATTTCAGGCGCTAAACAAAATTAATATTATACAATAACGATTGATAAAAAGATCTAAGATCGTTTTCCTAAAATTCTGCAGTATTATACAAAACATGTTTGAAAAATATTTATTGGAAAATAAAAATAAAAATTAGTAGCATGACAATAAATGGTTAGTAATCATAAATCATCCTGTTGTTCCAGCTTCATCACCTAAAACATAACAGCAATCATCAACTCACTAATATCATAAAATACTAAATCTTTCCTTTACACAAATTTAAAACCTCATTAAAACTTAAAGTCACTTAATTTTAAAACCAGATCATCAAGGCTTATCCTTGGATCTTAAATCATTTTCTACTTCATTACATTTTAAATTTGATCATCAAGGCTTATCCTTGGATCAAACAGAACAACTTTGTTCTCCCCCACCCACTTAATTAGTGTCTAACGACCTCAAACGTCGATTCACTACCCAACCCTTTCTAAAGACCCAAGACTAATAGAAATTTTTAAACAAAACTAATCATTCAAATTAGGATAAACAGTGAAGAACTTCGGTTATTCATCCTTCACTTGATCCCCCCTCTTACCAGACCCAGGATAAATCTTAGACTTAGTAAGTTTAAAATAGTATCTAACGAACTACTCGCGTTCTAATTATACCTGAACCTTGTGGATCGATTTACTATTCTCCAACCCTTGAACACAATCACTACCCCTAAGTAAGATTAAGTAAGTTAACACCTTAGCTTATACTAGTCACGAGAAAGTAAAAATCATTCTTCGGAATCGATATACTTTTCTCTCCAACCCTAAACAAATAGACCCAGGTTAAGCTAACCAAAAAATCGTAAGAACTAACAGTTTAGGAAAATAGAAATCATTTAACAACCTTTTGCACCCGTCATCCTAAACCTTATGTCATTTAAAAACCTAGGGAATAAACAAACAATCGTTTTACACAATTGTGAAATAGATAACAAAAAATACGACCTTGTAATCACACCTCATACACAAACAGTTGGATACATTCGAACAAAACGACAAACACTAAAGAGAAAAATAATCACTAAACAAAGACAAATAACACGAAAAAGATTTTCAAAAAATCGAAACGCATTTTCAGAATCAGAAACCAACAGTTTAGACGAACTCTACAAACTAAAAGAATCAATAGATAAAAATTACCCACAACACGATCAATTATATTTTTCTGACTCAGAAACAACTTCAAATTCATCACAAAGAGGAAAAAGAAGAATAAAAAAGCAGTATAAACACAAACCAGTACATCTATACAACTGGAATCAACCAATTCGACACATTAATAATTACATATTAACAGTCATCGAACGAAAAAATGAGTTCAACGCACACCCCAGGTGACGAAACTCCAGATGATGATGAAATCTTTCCTTTTATAGTAGATGCAGATACTGATAGAGGACAACACATATTTTGTCAAAATTTACTCGTAAATTTATTTGAACCCGGAATCAGTCCATGTAAAACAGAGTTCCCCGATGTAAAAATCAAAAGACAAATCATAGATCACTATCTAAAAGATATATGCAACATAACACAACAATATGGAATCTACTCTATAGAATTCACTTCCCCAAACCATAATAATAGAACATACACTATTCAAACAGACGACCTTGATTTAGAATTTTCAAAAGTTTTTTCAGAATATATAAAAAGCATACAATACCATAACTCACAAAGAGCAAACTCCATTTTCACCAATGAAGTTTTCGCACTAATATATAGTTATATTTCGATATTAGAAAATGAACTCCCATTAACAAATGTCTCACCGACAGAAACATCTAAACATTTAAGAGTACGACATGAAATCACACTACTCTCTAGTTATTTAAACATCATTAAAGAAAATTTCACGAAAGACGACGTTTCACAACATACCAAACACGATTTACAAAAAATTTTAGCATGGTTCATAATAGATTATTTTACACACAATATTGATTTAATTGCACAAGCAAGAAAAAATTTTAGACCCCAAAACTCGAACGATGATACAGCTATCACAGAACAATCAGATTATGTTTGGGACCCCGAATGGTCTCATCCCGTATTTATAAACTTTCCACAATCAATCTCAAGTCAAGCAATAGGTACAATATCTTACATAAGAGATTATGTAAGAGTAATACCATTAACAATTGATGCAACACCATTAAACTATAATACATTTTTACCCGATACACAAAATAATAGTTTAAACTCTACAGTCATACACAATGAAAACCTCAATGGAACTAGGAATCTTACTCAACAAGATATACAGACACCATCACACTTCATAAATGAAGAAATTGTACACACAACAACTACACAACAAAGTATTTCACCAATACGCCCAAATTTAACAACACCAAGAAATACAAATCCTTCACAAACACAGGTAACCTTACAATCAACCGTTAAACCTTCGGTTGCCCCTAAATATTCACATATGGATTACCAAACATACAAACCCATGACAATACCATCAAAAACACGCAAAACATTCACTAGAAACAACTTTGCAGACCATAATTATAATTATACACATCCATCAAAAACAAATTATAAACCACAAAGAAATTTTAATCAATATACAAAACCTCGAAACTGGGATAACCCAACGGCCCAATATAATTCCACAAATTTTCAACCAAATCCTCCACAGGATCGCAGTGAAAATTACCCATTTTTTCAACAAAATAAAAATAAAAAACAAACATCTTATCAAATGGATTATTTATCCTCAGATGAAGATTTCTTACAACCAGATATATTTGCACCAAATACTCAAGAATATCGTAGACAAGGAATACAGAAAACACGTACAAACCATAGAAATTTTTCTCCACAATCAATAGATGCACAATATCAACAACCAATTCAACAACCAAATCCAATTAATATACAATCTTTTCAACCAATTCAACAACAAAATCCAATGACTACACACTCGTATCAACCATCACAAATGCAAAATGAAATACCACTCCCGTATTATCTTCAACAACATGAAATAACAAGAAACCAACTTTCAAATTTTTCTCAAATGCCAAATGCAGCTGAATCATTACAAATGACAATGAATCCATACCTTATGGGTGGATCATCAATAACATCAAATAAACCCTTAATGGTTTTCACAGGAACAGACCCTGAATACTCTGTAGAAGATTACTTAAATGCAGTAACAGCAAATTTAATTTTAAATATTGGACCTGAACCAATTAACACGCCACTACATCAAAACTGGATACATCGACGCACAGCGTTGATACAAACAACCTTAGATGGCGCAGCCCAAAAATGGTTTTCAGTACTACCTCAAGAAATAAAATCAAACTGGAAAAGATTTACACAAGAATTTTCAAAAATGTTTGACTCCGAAAGAAACAAACAACAACAAAGAGTTTTATGTAATGAAATTCGCAGATTACCAAACGAAACCATCAAGCAAATAGCAGTAAGAATCGAAACACTAGTTCGAAAAGCATATTCACTAAATACACATGACTATAAAAACACTAAGATGACAGAAATCTTAATGATGACCTTAACACCACAATTAAGGAAAATAGCAATAAAAAAGAGAGCATCACATCCTTCTTCAATTCGAGAACCCGATTTAGATTTTAGAAAACTAGTAGACAAACTAGAACAAGCAGAAATCACAATGAAATTAGAAGAAACGGAAAATCTGAAATTACAATACGTTAACAAAATTGAAACGACTCCCACTAATATTAATAATATACAAGAATCAGAAACAGATCTCGTTGAAAAAATCACTGAAATACTCAATATTTATGAAAAGAACCCGAACTTTAAAGGCAAACCATCTTTCAAAAAATGGTGTAATTATTGCCGACGATACGGACATAGTATTTCCGAATGTAGACAAAAACAACAAGATAGTCAAAATAAACCTCAAAAATACAAAGAACCAAATAAATCATTTTATCAATACATGAAAAAAGATCAAAACCTACCAAACAAAAATGTATACAGCAACAACAGTTCAGG